ATTTATATATTTATTCAATCATGGAATGGAATTACGATCTTGAAAATATGGTAACCGAAGAGAGTGAACAAAGTATTTATATATTATAAAAGTAGAATTATGGAAATTCAAGAGGATGGATAAAGGTTTCATCGCAATAGAAGAGCAATTATAATTGTAAAAATAGAAATATAACTGTAGAAAATGTAAATGGAAATTAAAGAAGTTGAATGAAGAATCTATGTATTAATATATTCAGTGTGATATTAAATTTCCCATCTTTATAATGCAATTTTTTTCCAATTAAGAAAATGAAGCCTAAGCAGGAATTTATTTCTTCTACCAAATATTTTCAATTGTTCCATATATATTCGCACATTAAATTAATCCGCAAAAATCTTGCGTCTTTCATTTACTACAACATTCCAATTCGATTCAGTTATCTACAATGATTCTCGTGCCAGTTCAATTTATCTCGTTGATTTTTCCTAGATTTCAACCTAGTTTCAGATCTCCAAATTTCCAATTGAATCTAAAGTCTCTCCAGATTTCAAGATTTCGAGCTTTAGCGACGCGAGATAACGATCGAACGCGGCCGCGCGGTTTTCTCCGAAATAAATCTATTACGTCCGTGCCGGGAACGAGGCTGCCCCGGAGAATAACGCCAACAACTCGGGCCATTTTATGCGGGTTACTACACACGCGAATACTTTATGCACGTATTACGCGTAATGCGAATTTCATTGCGGTTATGCGTACTGCCGCCACTTTTCTTACGATGCTCCGGGCGTACCGCCAGCGTTAAGTCCTGGCAGAACAAAACCGATGATATATTGTGCCGAACGATGTTAAAAACAACTGGTGGATGTTAATGTACCGCGCGAAAATTACCAGCTGTTCGCGATGGTAGTCGCGAAACAGAACCATCGATAGATAATACACCCCGTTAATTGAATCGGTCGCGATCACGTCGAATTATTGCACGATCTAAAGAAGAAAATTATTCAGGCAATAGACACAGATCCTTATCCCTTGTGTTAGGTTCTACCGCAGCAGGTATTAAAATTTTGTTGTTACGAGAAAATATTAATAAATGAATTTTAATGTACACTTGGATCGATGTTCGAGAAACTCAAAGAGATACAGACATTTTATTCGTTGTGCCTATTAATATACTAGAAGAACAAGGTTTACGAGCATTTCACTCTGATTTTTACAAAAGTTTTAAGTTTTAATTAGATATATCGTAGCTGCGTGGATGAAACGTGTGCCTGGAACTAATTGAATTTAATTACTTTTTTTTTCTACTTACTAGATAGAAAAATACAATAAACAAAATTCACAAATGAGGAACTCGTATCTGAAGGAAACCTTGCACGTGCTGAAGATACTGATTGTAACAATATATAAAATTGTTTGACAACGAACGAAACGTATCGCGTAATGAACGACAAATTAAATTTTCGAGAAACCTGTCATCTTCAACAACTTGTTGCGAGACAACAAATTGTTCAATTGTCGATGGAAGGCCACGTTAAACAAATTGACGATCGATCGAATCGGTTTTCGAACGTGGATGGAGAATCGAGACAAACGAAGCCACGAGCGATTGAACGAGAAGAGGAAGCTGACTCCTCGATAAAGAGGGAAAAGACGCGGTTACGAGCGGCTGGAAGAAGGTCTCGTGTAGCTTGCGTACGTGCCGTTTCCGTGATTTCCGAGAAACCAGCCGGAAATGACAATAAAAATAATCACTTCACAAAACTCTCTGAATCCAGACCAGCATGTACCCCGTTACCGGGATGCAGTAATGACGCCTAATTACTTTCCACCGCACTGCACAGAAACGCCGCCCGATTTCGAACGATGCCGGTCGGCTAATTTCAACCGTGGCGCGTTGCGTTAATTAATTCGAGCAGACGAAACTGAGCCAAGTTGTCGCCCGATGCGCTACACCGGAGCTACCTGGTAAAAAAAAAAAAAAAAAAAAAGAGAAGAAAAAAAGAGGAGGGAGGGACGTCACTCGTAAAATTGCGTAACATCGTTCGCCACGGAATAAAACCACTCGTCGACTCGTATTTCTTCGACAGAGTAACTTCCAACTTCTTATTCTTCTTCTTCTTTCATTTACGCGCATGCTCGCGTCTTGGATAGATTTGAACCACGCTAACAACGGGAAGAGGATAATCTTTCGGCCGATGGGAGTTTCGTTGTTGGAAAATCATCGAAAGAATTTTGAACCTCGTCGAGTCAACGTCGAGTTATGCGGTCGGCGAAACAAGTGCGCGATCGATAATTCGAACAACAATTATTACAGAGTCTGATAGCACGGATTGATATGACGGATCTCTTTGCACCCGGATGAATATTGATCACGATAATGTAATTATATCGCTCGTTAAAGAATGAGAATTCAATTCGTGGTATTAACGAAACCCCTCGAATTTAATAATTGCGAAAGTACGAAGAATATTCTTGTGACTCACGCAAGTTTCAAGGGAAACCGCATTAAATTTCTGTTAGTTTTCTAATTTCGGCGCTACTTGGATGGAAGTATTCACGGTTCATTTGAGCTCTATATTTATAGTATCCTTACATTTACTCACGAAAGTGTTCAAACGTTTTTGTTTTCCTTTTTAAGAAATTTTTATGAACATAATATGCGCGTTGGTAAAATTTGAAGAAAATCTAAAAATATGTGTACAAATTACAAGGTATTTTAATACAACTATTTTGTGAAAAAGATTCGGTATATTTAAGTAGGGCTTTAAGTATACTTTAAAAGTTTCTCCATACTACAAACTAATTTCGTAGCTTTTATATACGTCTTGAGATTGGTTCCAAATTTTATCAATGAAGTTGCAATAGTCCTCTTTCATCATTATACTGAACAATTGCAATGAAATTACAAATACACGAAAAAAAAAATATATGTATATATATATATACATGAAAATCATCTTCATTGTTCCTAAAACTTCGAGTTTCAAACGTTTGCACGTGAGTGAGTGCTCACTTTCGTTGAAGGAAATCGACTCCACTGTTGACACCGCCATCTGCAAAATTGCCTTTTGTCGTGGCCCGTTCTCTTCGTTAAGGTCGCAGTCTCACGAGATGCACTTAACGCTTTTCCACGAACTCGACTGGCCATGTACGCGAACTCGGCCAATTTTCGTTCGCTGACTCGTTCGCAAATGTCCGTAAAAAAAAAAATGCCCTTATGTCACTCGACTTGTCCACTTGTTACGTCAGCCAATGCAAACGAAGAAAAAAAAAAGAAAAAGAAAGAAATCGACATGCATTGCCACTCGAAAATATGTGGACAGTTTCATCCTTGTGTGTTTGAAGAGAAAATATGAAATCGTTGATAAATTCGAACGAATTTTGTGTCTTCTAATTTGCATTGTATTAGACAGTATATTACCAATAATTCATTAAATACTTAATTTACCAATAATATACTTATTATTATTATTTTTTTTTATACTTATTCTATAAATTTAACCAAAATATCTGCATTTATTCAACGTTCCAAAATTGTCATTTAATTACGCATCGAATAAATACTTATTTATCTAAAAGATTTGAATAATCAATTCTCATTACTACAATATTATAGATTCCATGAAATTAAATTAAATGCCCACATACTTCCGATCGACACAGAGTACACGTGAATTGAGATTTTTATCAAATCCAGTAAAGGACTATAATCAGATCTCGCGTTTCACGATCTTGATTTTCCTGTTCTCACCGCGGACCCGATTGTGTGTGATACGTGCGTCAGTAATTATCTGCCGATTATATTTTGTGTCCACCTGTTTTTCCTATCGTCTGTCGGCAATTTCCTTTTCTGCTGCCAGTCGTGGGAACACGATGGATCGAATCGACAGACGCGACGCGAACAGGTTTCGCTGTGCTTTGAAAAAAATTCGTTGACCGTCGATGTTACGTCGAATTCCGATTGCACACAGCCGTGCGAGAGGCAAGAAACTACGAGGTGTTGTGCTCGATAAAAAAAAAAGAAAAAATACTGTTCTCGCAACTACCGATACTCTTTCTCTCTGAATAGTTGGCACGAACGACGGAGAAAAAGAAAATTGACGAACAGATGAAGTAGGTACTTCCATTTTTTCTCTTCGTTTCTTACCGTCACGGTGAAATCGTTAAAATTAGGTCTTCCCGTAATTACCATGACTATCGTTACCTGCCCGCGATATATTCACGTGTACGTGCTGCTCTGTTGAACCAGATAGTCAACTAGTTAGACAAGACGCAATAGAAATAGACTCGTTTCTTATGATAATGCAGCCTGCATAATACAGTTGTATTCATTAAATGCAGAAAGTTGCAGTTCGGAGGTAAGCCTGGTGGTCGACATTGTTATCGTT